GCTAATATCTATCTAAAGATGATATCACTGAAGGAACTGAAGAGATTTCAATATTTCAATGAAGAGATTTTTTCAAATAAGTTTCAAAAACTCAAAATATAAAAGTTAAAAACATTAAAAGTCATAAAACACTTTTCCTGATCGAGTTGAACGTTTTGACCAATAAATGGTTAAATAATGTAAAAATATTGACCTGAAACACTCAGAAGCACGACGGCACAAAGAAGCAGCGGCAGCGTGGCCAACTTCATGGCTGCAGGTGATGAAGACGATGCTCAGCCTCTGAAGACCGGACCACCAGGGAACAGGAAGAGCTTCTCCTCTTCATCGTCAACCTGCAGCTTTTATATCCTGAAATTTATCTTTCCATCKTGGCAAAATGAGGAACTGAGGTCTTACATGCAGACAGCATGACAACACTGTCTGCAGCTCAAGTGTCGACTCATGGTCAGGTTGGCAAATGAGATCTCTGATAGTTTGATCTGTTGTAATGAAATATTAGAGTTTTATAAGTTAAGCTAAGCAGAAGAGCTAACATTTAAATGATACAGCCTGTTCAAAACGTGCACTATCAGTGTGCACGTCACTATAAAMCTACTTTATGTTTGTGTTCAGGGTCTGGAACATGTTTTAGACAAGAAAAGAAATATATATATATTTTTAATAAATCTGAGTTATTAACAGATCTGCAGTGTTTAAATTAAAGTTTGGAATCATGTTTTTATAATGTTAAAAGAAACTGGAGGATATTATCAAAGGTGTTTGCTACCATTAAAGGTTAATTACATCAATAAAACAGAAACTCATTCAGACCAGCTGGTTTTGATGCTCAGCTTTTATTTTGAAAATAAAAACTAAAAGAAGAGAAACACTTTGCAGGCAAAAATGTTGAGCTGCAACAAACAGAACATTCATCTCCCACTCGTGAACTTTTTTCACTTCWTTTTTTAAAGCGGCGTGAAAAGAAAAGAGCTGGAACTATAAGAAGATCAGGTCTCAGGTTCTGCTGTGGCACAGGTACCAGGTTCTCTTCAGAACACAGACGGACGGGTGGCGGTCCGTACAAGTGTGGTCGTCCCAACACTTCCTGCCTGGAAATACCAAATATATGAAAGTTTGTCACAAAAACAAGAACAACACTTTAAAAGAGTGGAATTGAACTCATCAGAATGATTTTAAGTAAATGTTTCTTTGTCAAATGAAACCCTCAGAGATGATTTAGTTTTGAATAAAAGTATTACTTGAGTAAATAATTCTCAGGCAGTTCTRGCTGCAGTTATAGTTGGTCCTGCTGTGGCACCAGTAGGAAAACTTCCTACATGTTCCATCAGACCAGAACCATTACATCCAAAAATCAATTCAATTCAATTCAATTCAACTCAATTCAATTCAATTCAATTCAATTCAATTCAATTCA